ACTGTGGCAACATACCCCAGGTGACAGCTACAGACACATGTAGGTAGCATTCTCATACTATACCTTTAATATATTTATGTTAAATAATTGTTTAGTGCGTTCGAAAAGCTGTGTCCAACGTTTAAGATAGGTATGCCCGGTTCTCTAGCGTAGTTGGCTAAACCGGATTGCGCGGAGACCGGGTGACGAACTCCTTGTGATCCGGGTTCAATCCCGGGGGTGGGCAGAAAAGCCACATTTTCTCCTAGATTTACGGTATTTACAATGGAATCAAGGCCGAAAGATTGCGATATCCATAATACCGAGCCTAAGGCTTAACAACTCATGACTTCTGGATACTAAAACAAACAAGATGTGTATAACTTAGTAATCGTTCGATGTAGATTATGGACATTTTGCATGCAAACTGCTAATAATAATGTCCTTGCAGGAAACGAATTATAATATAAACAAACATGTAGAATTTTTTTTTTTTTTTTTTTTTTTTTACATTTAAACAAAACATACCTCGATTCAAAGAAATAAAACAATTAGCTTGCTTCCAGCTAGCTCTTTCTTACCTAAGGAACGCATCATAGGTTCATAGGTTCCCATCTAGAAGCCAAGTGAACGCAAGATGCGCTGATTTTAAGTCTCTCTTTACTACACATGGGCCTTAGATGCTACCCATAAAGTCTGAAAAAGTTAATGGAGTAACGCGAACTTTGCAAAACATCAAATTGCAGGAGATTTATAGCTTATTCGTGAGAAAAAACAAAGCGCAATTGTTCCCAATAGCGAAATGGATAAATCATTTACTGTCATAGTATTAAGAAAATTGTAACTCAGTTCTCGGGCTTTCACAATTCGTGCTCTGTGACTGTCAGTTATTGTATATTGTTTTTTAGGGGTACACAAATCAATTATTAGTCCTGCAAAGACCAAAGAAATTCGCCGCTTTAGAGAAACAGCAGCACCTGTCTAGTTTTCGATTATAAAATCATAGGCAAAAATGCCTGTTGATCAGTACATGGGTTTTCGAGACATTTGTTAAAATTTGACGGTACTACTTTTGGAAGGCACTTGAATAGACACAATCGATACGGAGATCTGGACCAGCTGGGCCAAGACGCATACCATTTAAGACCTTACTAGACCTCTATGAGGTCGTCTATAAACAGGCTCCCAACTGGTCTTTCCAGTCGGAGTGCATCTGCCAGAGGCGAGGAACCAACAGTATGCACACAGGTAGACCAGATTTATGACCAATTCAGTTCTCGAGCAAGACAAAGTCCTGAAGTGGACGAACAACAGTACTTCTACCGGAGTTTATAGTCGGTAAACGAAGAAGAAGAAGAAGAAGAAGAAGAAGAAGAAGAAGAAGAAGAAGAAGAAGAAGAAGAAGAAGAAGAAGAAGAAGAAGAAGAAGAAGAAGAAGAAGAAGAAGAAGAAGAAGAAGAAGAAGAAGAAGAAGAAGAAGAAGAAGAAGAAGAAGAAGAAGAAGAAGAAGAAGAAGAAGAAGAAGAAGAAGAAGAAGAAGAAGAAGAAGAAGAAGGAAAGAAGAAGAAGAAGAAGAAGAGAAGAAGAAAAGAAGAAGAAGAAGAGAAGAAGAAGAAGAAGAAGAAAGAAGAAGAAGAAGAAGAAGACGAAGAAGAAGAAGAAGAAGAAGAAGAAGAAGAAGAAGAAGAAGAAGAAGAAGAAGAAGAAAGAAGAAGAAGAAGAAGAAGAAGAAGAAGAAGAAGAAGAAGAAGAAGAAGAAGAAGAAGAAGAAAAAGAAGAAGAAGAAGAAGAAGAAGAAGAAGAAGAAGAAGAAGAAGAAGAAGAAGAAGAAGAAGAAGAAGAAGAAGAAGAGAAGAAGAAGAAGAAGAAGAAGAAGAAGAAGAAGAAGAAGAAGAAAGAAGAAGAAGAAGAAGAAGAAGAAGAAGAAGAAGAAGAAGAAGAAAGAAGAAGAAGAAGAAGAAGAAGAAGAAGAAGAAGAAGAAGAAGAAGAAGAAGAAGAAGAAGAAGAAGAAGAAGAAGAAGAAGAAGAAGAAGAAGAAGAGAAGAAGAAGAAGAAGAAAGAAGAAGAAGAAGAAAGAAGAAGAAGAAGATGAAGAAGAAAAAAGAAGAAGAAGAAGAAGAAGAAGAAGAAGAAGAAGAAGAAGAAGAAGAAGAAGAAGAAGAAGAAGAAGAAGAAGAAGAAGAAGAAGAAGAAGAAGAAGAAGAAGAAGAAGAAGAACAAGAACAAGAAGAAGAAGAAGAAGAAGAAGAAGAAGAAGAAGAAGAACAAGAACAAGAAGAAGAACAAGAACAAGAACAAGAACAAGAACAAGAAGAAGTGTAACTCTAAGATCGGCGGTTAGAATAAGATTTCTATCGTAAAGTAGTAGTTGTAGTCGTAATAGTGCTGGTAGCTGTAGTTGCCATTGTGGCAATTAATTAGTTAGTTAATTAGTTAGTCGAGGTTAAAGCTGCACAACACGAAGCTAACCCTATAACTGTTCAATTTCTGTGCCAGTGTGGTAGTTACAAAATGCACTTTGCCGTCCTATTTGAGAACTAGTAAAAAATAGACCAGTACCAGCGAAATCTAGAAGCTCATACACACACAGCTATTGATTAAGCAAGCCGCTATATGTGCCAATGCTAACATTCATCCCCCCCCCCCCCCCCACTTCCCCCACCCCACCAGAATTGCAGCTCATTGTTCATGGAAGCAGCAGCAGCAAAAGCAACAGTAGTAGCAGTAAACATAATAATAATAATAATAATAATAGTGGTAGTAGTAGTAGTAGTAGTAGTAGTAGTAGTAGTAGTAGTAGTAGTAGTAGTAGTAGTAGTAGTAGTAGTAGTAGTAGTAGTAGTAGTAGTAGTAGTAGTAGTAGTAGTAGTAGCAGTTGTTTTATTAGCAGCAGCCACAGTAGTAGCAGCAGCAGTAGTAGTGGTGGTGGTGATAGTGGTGGTAGTAATAATAGAGAACCATATCATGTTACTGGAACATCAGGCACATTGTTCTAGATCCATATCGTTCGTTAATCGGCACTTGATGGAATGCTTTAAATGTAGGTGAACAAAGAAGACACAATCAATTGATTGCACACTTTATCGCCTGGTATATTTTGATGCATCTCCTCAGGTGCGTATTACCGTAATATTTGATTGCAATGAAGCAAAGAAATGAACCCTTCTAACTAAAACACAGAAACGACTTTGTCAAAAGTAGCTGCCTGTTTTACAGACAAAACCCAGCTCACAGCTATGTCTCTATGTCTGCATAAATCGTTTTACTGCTGTGGCCTCCACATAGTCTAGCATTCTGCAACTGGTCGAAGTGTACATAAATGGCAATAATTTAAGCAGTCTTTTGTTTGTGTATTCTTTATTCAAATTCACAAAGGAAAAACAATGCTTTAATTTTCTAAAAAATTTTTTTTTTACAAACGACAGGAATAAATTAATGAAGGAACCCACGTAGATAATGCATAAACCTCTGGAAAAGTAGGTCATCTATTTTTTTTTTTTTTTTACACATTAGGGAACAAAAATGAAAGAAGGACTGAAATATGTGACAGTTGGAAAAATTTAGGAAAAGAGAGATAGAGGAAAACAAATTGTGTCAGCAATTTGTGATGCTGTGGAAAGTGTTAGCAAACAAACTGATACACTCTGTTGACTGTAAGAATACCACGACGGTCAACGTCAAACGGAAGGTACTTGATGGCGGCCATGAAATAATTTTAATAACCACCATTATTTTATATTATTTCCTGTTAGGTTCCAGAGCTCCCTAGAGGTGGGGTGGATGTAAATAGACCAACTGCTTTGTAGCAAGCATGTCGTAACAGTCGAACAATTTGGTTTGTTCCCTTTAAAGTAGGAGTGCATCTGTATGAGAAGCGACGAAGCAATAGCCTGCACATAAGTAGGCTAGATCTGCAAACCAGATTTAAATTCTGAAATCAAAACCAAAATCCAGAAGTGGGTGAACAACCAGAACCGTCGCTGGAGTGTCCAGCCAATAAACGCTAAGAAGATTATGTATTGTAAATAGCGCTGATTGGTCCTTTCCGTCTTCGGCGATTGACTAACGCTTTGTGTCATCACCATCATGTGCCTGAAGGTGGTAGTACTAGACCAGTGACTAATCAGGCTAGGATGCACCTAGGTGTCGCCAGAGTGCTCTCTTTTTCCAACATAGAATGTAACTTGGGTGCACTACGCCCCACAAAATTACATTACTTATAATTTTAAAGACTAACGAGCCATCAGTAGATGATGTTGTCATCATACCAGCCGCCTTCATTTCCAGTGACATTACCTGGCACCAGTTTTAGATTTGGTCGACCTGGGAGCTAAGGTCAGTATTTAAAAAAAAAATGTTCTCCTCAATAAGAATTCGAACTGAAGTCCTTCGGGATGACAAATGAGTGTCTAGTCAGAAGACTAATTTTACTACAAGTTAACAAAAATCTCTTACTGTTCAGGAGAACTGGGCGCAGGGACAACCTTGACAAGACTACAATAACTTCATGTCAAAAGAGGTCTTGCTAGACATGAACGGTATGCAGGTTGCAGAAGAAGAATATTAAACCAACACAGAACTGGTGTTATCAGTCGCCACAGGCTGAGGCAGAAACTGAAGAGGGGATCCGAACGCTTACGGACTTGTCCGATGTACAATAAGGATTATCTGTCGATTGACTAACTTCTTCTTCTTCTTCGCGTTCATCAGCTGCAAACTCTGGCGGAAAGTTCTGGTTGTTCATCCACTTTTGGACTGCAGTCCTGTTCTAGAACCTGAGTGTTGCATGTGCATCCGTTTAACATATCTGACTCATTTGTATGCAGACTTCTGGTTTCTTGCCTCTCAGGCAGATGCACTCCGACTTCGAAGGAAGCTCCCATTTAGTCAACTCTTACGACATGCTTTTGGGTAGGAAGTGGGTCTATTCTTATTTACCCTATAACAGGGCCCCGGAACCCACACGAAGAGATTGACTAACTATTAACTAGCAATTGCTTGCTTTCAGAAACCCGGCAAAATGGAAAACGGAGATTCCCAAGCTGAGGAATTCGCAGCCATCTTGTACGCTGAGCCAGGCGCCCTTGGCCTCATTTCGAACATCGTGGCTGCCCTGTTGATAGCCACAGAGAACTGTCTGGAGCCACCATTTTCTGCCGCTTCTCTTACAATGTCAGGTATGGTTGGTTTGAGTATCGTCATCATTCATCTATATTCCACACACCTCCCTGGCGGTGAAATTTGCAAGAGTTTTCATACAAAACTGCATATTTTCTTCTCTTCTTATGCGTTCATCTGATCATGTAAATTAGTTGTGCCCGTTTACAACATGGCTGCGATGTTGGCCCCTTTTGGGCGACACATCTGCCTTCTGTATGAATTTGTTTTTCGGGCCAACCTTTCCATAACTACCCATCTTAAGCGCTCTGTTTAATTCTATGACAGACCTCACATGAAAGATAATTCAACAGCTACAGTTGAGAAATTTGACTTCATTGCACTGGTTTTTTTTTTTTTTTAATCTTCTATAGCTATCTGTCGATAGCGTCGCGCAAATCACAAATACCATAGCTCTGGCGTCGACCCCAGGGATTTCAGAAAAAAAAAAAAAAAAACACGCATTTATGAACCGAACGACGCAGCATTGAAACGAGACCTTCAGAGGGCGAGGTAAACGGCTTGACCACTTCGCCGTGAAGAACCTTTTCACGCGAAGGAAACAATTTTTTTTTGGATGGCGAACTGGACACAACAGATTCCTCTGCTATATGTGCAAGAAATTCAAGATTGGGTGCTCAGAACTTTGACCATGTTGAGAGGTTTAATGTTTGAGGTTTGAACAACGGATCAACATAAGTGCTCCGTTGTTCTTCTAACTCAAGTCTGAGTCCGAAGAAGCTAATCGCACGGCACAAGCTCTGTAGCACCGGCGAGGATCCTCAAATACTTTGTGTAGATTTTTAACTCCATGTTTTTCCCGGGCAGCGCTGTTAGGCTGCTCTTTTCGATTTCCAACTGCAAAGGGATTTTTGTGCAGACGTCCGATCTCACCAGGAAAAATTACTAGAAGTCCAAGTCGATGTGAAAAAAATCCAGCCCTTACCGGGGATTGAACCCGCCAATTCTAGCACTCGAGGAGGACACCATGCCACGAGACCACGCAGCTTCCAGACCACGTGGAGAGGCAATACACAATACTGTAAGTAAATGACCATTGTCCACGCCTTCAGGCGTATTGGGCATACAGGGCAAGACCTTTGTTTTAGAGACCAATCGTGGTCAACATAACGCCGGCCGCGTTTACTTCCCATGACTCTACCTGGTGCCCATTTAAGGCTGGGTCGACCTCAGAGCCAAGGTCATTCTTGACAAAAAATGTCCGGCTCCGTCAGGACCTGAACCCGCGACCTTCTGATCTGCAGGCGGGCGTCTAGCTGCTACATCAAGGCCTTGCCAAGAGAATATTGTACACTGATATAATACTGAGTGTCGCACCACCGCACACAGAACCAGTCATCATAAGTCTATGCTATGTATGCAATTACTGTTTGTTTTTCATGTTTGCTAACTGCTTGTATCAATTACTCTCATCCTAGGTGTTCATTTGATTGTCGTGGGTGGCCTCATCCAGGTCGTTGCCGGTCTCCTTTGCTTCCGTCGCTGGGATCATCTCACTGGTACTGCTTTCGTTGTGTTCGGATCCCTGTGGACTTCAGTAGGAATATCGCGGGTTTTGGCGGCTCAGACAGGAGATGCAGACGCCATCAGAGCGGCCACTCTGCCGGGGATGATCGGCTTCATGGCCGTAGCTGTCATCCTCTGCGTATGCGCCGTAACGGTCAACTTCATCTTGCCTCCCGTGTTGGTAGCTTTGCTGCTGACCCTAATTTTCGAAGGCGTCGGGGCATCTTTCGCTTGGGGTCGTAGAGTGGCAGCTGCCTTTGAGCTCTTCATTGTCATCACCAGTGTCTACGCTGTGGTTGTCATGATGTTGAAAGGTGTCAGTCAAAGGTATATTTTGCCGGGCTTTGGCAATGCCCCATACGATCCTCTTCTTATGAGAGCCGCAGGAGGGCCAGCACCAAAGAATGAGAAGAAGAAGATCACCAAATACTCTGAGCCCATGGGGATGGGTTTCCTTGGCAACGTTGTGCCTGCAGCTGTTTTAGCTTTCCATCATCTGGGATTCTTCACGGATTTTCGTCCAGCAATAGCCATGTTTGTTTTCAGCGCCTTTATGCAAGTCTTGGGAAGTTTCTATTCCTTCCTGCGGCACGACTTCTTCCATGCCATCAGCTTTGTCTTGTACACTACGTTCTGGCACTGCCGAGCCATTTTACAGTTTCTCATTTCCATGAACATACCCCACATCCTTGATTCAAGGGTCAACTTCTATGGTCAGTGGACATTGATTGGCCTTCTCATTGTTCTGGCTTTGATCTCCATAAGTCATAACAGGTATGTAATATGTTCAGTTCTATGTTCAGAATGAGTTATTTAGCACACATAACTAAAAAAAATTAAAATAAAAAATGCGTCTGAGATAGAATATACAAATTTGCAGGACATCAGGAGCCTCTCTTGGCAGTGGTGAAATGTTGCAAGCTGGCTTGACTTGGGCACGTGGTGAGACATGATTTGATTACAAAGACTTTGCTTCAAGGAACATTGGGGGTAGTCGAAGAAGAGAAGGGCAAAGAAGAATCTGGAATGACAACATCAAGAAATGGACAAGACTAAGTTATTATAAACTTATTCATTAAGCGGAAGACAGAGAAATATGCCTGGTTTCGTGTGTTGGTGATTCCATCAAAACACCTCCACGACCCTAACGGGTCAAGTGTTATATTATTTTCTATTATGTTCAGTTCAGAATTAGTTTTACCCAAAGGAGATGCGTGTCTGCTAGATTATCTGTCTAACTATTTTATAGTAACTAGGAGAACTCAAGAACAGTCCGTAAATCATCTTCAGTTTCATAATTTTAGATACTTTTGATGCCTGAAATTCGTTGATGAGAATTTGAATAGTATGCTTTTTTTTCATTGCATATTGTTTTGTATATTTCTTGGTGGCGATGGGTAAGGTTTTAATATCATGTAAAGCGAGGAATTACCCTGTTGACCCTGGTGACCTAGGAAAAAAAAGAGGGTGTGGGTGGGAAACTAATTTGCTTGGGATGACCCGTTTTCAGCTCAAAATATTATGGTCACTCCAGATATAGGGGGAGTCCCCGTGGCGAAGCGGCTAGACGCTCACCGCGGATCGGAAGGTCGTGGGTTGCTTCCTGGCGGAGACGGACCTTTTTCAAAAATTACCGTGGCTCCCAGGTCGACCCAGCCTTGAGTGGGTACCGGATGCAGTCCGGGGAAGTAGAGGCGGCCGGCGTGATGTTGGACCACATCACCCATATTGTACCGATGGTCTATAAAAATATAGGTCTAGCCCTATATGCCCTATACGCCTAAAGGCGTGGAAAAGAGTCCTTTACTTTATTTTTTACTTACCAGCTATAGGGTTGACATTTTGCACACTCACTCATTGCAGTTGATAACGCATGGCGATGGGGAAAACATATTACACATAACCTTGTTTTCTTTAATTCTTCATGATTTTGGTTTCTGGTCTTACCTCGCCTTTATTCCCACATCCCAGAGTGGTCTTCCTGTACAACGTTATGTTTGTGGTCATGGCTACCCTGTCCGTTGACCACATCCCAGTGTCGGCACACAACTTCACCTTTGGCGTCACTGCGGCCATCACCGCCGTGCTCAGTCTCTATGTGGGCATGTCGGCGCTGGAGAACTCCATCGCGGAGAAAGCTGTGATGTACATCGGAGCCGAGGTGGTTCACTACGACAAGCTGAAGAACTTCTTTGGCAGCATTTTTGGAACACTGAAGTAAGTTCATCATTGAGAGAGAGAGAGAGAGAGAGAGAGAGAGAGAGAGAGAGAGAGAGAGAGAGAGAGAGAGAGGGGGGGGAGAGAGAGAGAGAGGATGTGTAAATTTCAGGGCTAAGTTTTAAAAAAATTAATGTCAACACTTGTCCAAAATCACCTGAGTTTAATTTTTGACACTTTTCACCTGTGCGTTTTTACGGTTGATATTTGTCACCGGTCTCTCTTTCCACAGATCTTTCCAGTGGTCACAACATGTTCCATTTTCCCTCTTCTCATAACATGACCAAAAAATTACGATTGTCTCTTTCAGATGTTTGTGATAAATTGTCTTTGAGCATTCGCCTCTTTTTAAAACATCTGGGCTGCTCTACTTAGATGTCGAAGGAATTCTTCGTTCTGCCTGTTAATTAATTGTCTAGGTTTACATTCGTTTGTTAAAAATGGATCTATATAGCATGGAATCCCCTGTGGGTTCCAGGGGTCCTATAGTGGGGGGGGGGAGGGGAATAGACCCCACCGCCCCTCCCCCTTTCCCCAACAAGCACATCGTAAAAGTCGACTAACTGGGAGCTTCCTTCAAAATCGGAGTACATCTGCCTGAGAGGCATGGAACTAACAGTCTGCATTCAGATGAGACAAACCTGTAAAACGGATGTGCACGCAACACTCATTTTCTGGTGAGGACTAGAGTCCAGAAGTCGACTAACAACAAAAACTGTCCGCCAGATTTTACAGCCGTTGAATGCAAAGAAGAAGAAAAATGTAGCATGGAAGAATTTTTTTTCTAACTTTCAATGACAAGGATTTATTGCACAAAATGTTCTTTATTTTTAAAAAAAAGCAATTTTGGCCTGTCCTATTCTATTCTTTTTATCTCTGTGATACATCTGTGATACGTGTATACTCCAAATGTAGTTAAAATGAAATATTACTTTTCGCGCAATTATGCAGTTTTTGTTTAATATTCAAGAGATCGGATGTGATATAATCACCTTTGTTTAATGACTGTTTTCACAGGGAGAAGAAGGATAAGAAAAATGAGTATGAAAACGACGATGTAATTGATGATAAGATTGTGGATTCTATTGTGTTCACGGGCAGTGCCGTAGCTCTGATGGCTCTCTCGGCGTCAGAAGCCTCCAATCCTGTAAGTGGAATCCGTGTGTAGGTTTTTTCTTGTCTGTTAGTCAACTCACATTTAAAAAAAAAAAATTTAAATCCATCATTCTGTTCCTGTTGATTTTGTTATTTAGTTATAGCTTTCACTAACTGTTCTTTAAAGAATTTATGATTTTTTTTTTTAACCTTTAGCGCCCCACAATAAAAATTTAAATTATTTCCCTTGCCTCCCACCTTATTTTTTCACATTTCACATTTTTTATGGAGGAAACATGGAAAACACAATAACTGTTTGGTTTATGAATAGTTTTGCATAATTATTTAAACTGAAATAAAGAAATGATTCCTGCAGAAACCACGAGTTGTTAACCCTGTAGCTCGGTACTATGGATATCGCAACCCTTCGGCCTTGATTCCATGATAGATACCGTAAATGTGGGAGAAATGTGGCTTTTCTGTCTACCCCCGAGTGTGAACCCAGACCACAAGAAGTTCCTCACCCGGTCGTCGCAAAGTCAGGTTTAGCCAACCGCGCTAGCGAGCCGGGCTTATCTAAACTGTATTTGTATGTCTTGTCTTTTATGGAAGGGTGGGGGTGGGGTTGGTAATAGTGGTCCTCACTTAGAAATGTGCTTTGTTCTCACTTAATAATTTATCAATTCTGTTTCTGAAAGTTGAATTATCTATAGTATTTATAAAATTCATTTTTACTTCTGTGTGCAGTTCTCTACCTCTCAATCATTCTACAATTTACTTTAATTATTTAGGATTTTTATTGGCATTAGTCAATATTACACGCATTCAGAATTTATGTCTTTTTTTTTGTTTTGTTACCATTATGTAAGTTAACATTACAAATTACACATACATAACAATAAACAAAGACTTCCTTCTCCTCTTCCTCTTTTCCATCTTCTTCTTCTTTTTCCGCGTTTTCCTTTAAAACGGTGGTTGACACAGCGAGTTGTGGTTTACAGCTAGGCTTCTGTATATGCGTTCTTTGGCCCAACTGAGTTTAGCAAAACCCTTTTACGATGACACCCCGTTCCCCCATGGGACCCCGGAAGTCCCACTGAGAAAAGGGAACTAAAAGTTTCTCTCTTTCTCTCTGACACACACACACACACACACACACACACACACACACACACATAACATACATAGTGGCGCTCGTGCACACACAATCACACCCACATACACCCATTGTTTCATATGTTGCTGTGTCTTATTAGCTGGTAGATATTGTTTGAGACATATAACTTAACAGAGTTGTTTCACAGTTCCTTTTATTTCTGCTGCAGATTTTCCCGCTTCCCTGGATCATGGTCGCCGGTGTGTTTCTGCATCTGTTCGCCTCTCGTCTGGCGTACGCTGGGGGATCGCTGGCCAAAGCCTACTCCTCGCTGGTCCTAGCTGTCTATTGGCTCGTCTGGACGGCATTTTTGTTGGACGGTAAACTGATGTCTGTCAAATCGTAGGCACATGATGCTAGTTATGCAAAGTCTGAAGTTTGAACAACGGATGAACATCATGGCAGACGTATGTAACCCATAAGTGCTCCGTTCTTCTTTTAACTAAAGTCTGAGTCCGAAGAAACTCAGCACAGTGCACAGGCTCTGTAGCACCGGTGAGGATCCCGAAATACTTTAGGTAGATTTTTAACTCCAAATTTTGCCCGAACAGCGCCGCTAGTCTAATCTTTTTTATTTGCCAAGTGACTTTTTACGTGCGTAACAGTGCACACGGGCGTCGGATCTCACTACCCAGAGACCGCGGGGGTGGTGGGGGGGGGGGAGGATTCTTGAAGTCCAAGTCCATGTGAAAAAATCCCAGCCCTTATCGGGGATTGAACCCGGAACCTATAGCACTCGGAGCGGACACCATGCCTCGAGACCACGCAGCCCCCTCTCGGTGAAATGTGAAGCACTTTTCCATTCCGTCTGGCGTATTGGGCATATAGGGCTAGACCTACATGTTTTATACCAGTCTGCGCTAGGTGAGTGTTGTGATCGTCGCAGGAGATGCTTAAGTAGTAGGAGATGCTTTAATTTAGTCTTATTATTCCATCACCCTTCCACCACCCCACCAGTCTCCCACCAGTCTCCCACCAGTCTCCCACCAGTCTCCCACCAGTCTCCCACCAGTTTCCCACCAGTCTGCCACCAGTCTCCCACCAGTCTCCCACCAGTCTGCCACCAGTCTCCCACCAGTCTCCCACCAGTCTGCCACCAGTCTCCCACCAGTCTCTCACCAGTCTCCCATCACCCTTCTACCAGTCTCCCACCAGTCTCTCACCAGTCTCCCATCACCCTTCCACCAGTCTCCCACCAGTCTCTCACCAGTCTCCCACCAGTCTCCCATCACCCTTCCACCAGTCTCCCACCAGTCTCCCACCAGTCTCCCACCAGTCTCCCACCAGTCCACCACCCTAGCACAGGTGTTAATCAGGAAGTTCAAAGGTTCAAAAATATAGGTCACAATTTTTTTTTTAAGATGGCTAATTTTTCCTACTGTCAGGGGCGTATCCTCCAAAATAAAATTCAGAATTTCCCCAAATATTATTTTTTTAAAAGATGGTTTTTTTCTCTCCAGGATGTCGGTCTTGTCATTTCAGAATAAAAAGTTGCCAGATATATATATATATATATATATATATATATATATATATATATATATATATATATATATATATATATATATATATATATATATATATATATATATATATATATATATAAAACTGTTATACGTCTTCTGCTTTCATTTTTTTATCAATGTTGTTTGTTACCAGGGGTGGGTAATTACTACAGGTGGGATACTGGGGTAGACATATATTTTGTCTGGAACACCTCGGGGGCTTAGGGGGCACTGGAAAATCTTGTAGGTCCCTTGTAGTTCTTTCTGTCTATCCCTGTATCCCACCTGCAGTAATTACCCACCCCCTGGTAACAAACAACATTAATTAAAAAATGAAAGCAGAAGACGTATAGCAGTTTATATAATTGTTTATTGTTTAGCCTTTCCATTTTGTTTCATAAAGTTAGGACAGACAAAAAAAAAAAAAAAAAATTGAAATTTGAACATTTTTAACAATACATTAGGCATAAATTAGGCAAATAATTCATGACATAGTTGGCAAAAACACTTTACCTGGTACCTACTTAAGACTGGCTTGACCTAGGAGCAAAGGTCATTTCTGAAGAAAAAAAATTTCTTGTACCGTCACGTCGTGAACCGACAACCTTCGGATTGGCAAGCGAGCTTATAGCCGCTACATTACGGCGGCTACTCTATGTTATACGTACGTCTTTAAATAAGAATAACAACTTGAAAATTTTAAATATACATTTCAGAATCGATCTCTCTCATTCTCCCTATCTCTCACTCAGTCTGTCTCTCTGTCTCTTTTTCTTTTGATCGCAACATCTTTTATTTGCCTAACTTTATCATCGCTGTCTCTCTCTCTCTCTCTCTCTCTCTCTCTCTCTCTCTCTCTCTCTCTCTCTCTCTCTCTCTCTCTCTCTCTCTCTCTCTCTCTCTCTCTCTCCCTCATTGTCTGTCACCAATTTTGCACACTGTTTCTCTCACTATCCTTTTCACTGAATCTATTCCTCTAACTCTAACCATACATCTTTTCTCTCATTTTACCTCCTTATCTTACTTAGTCCCATTCTGTCCCTCACTATATTCATCTCTTTGAATCTAACTCTTCAGTCAATTTCTTCCTCTATTTGGCAGGGAACCTGGCTTTCGTCCTAAGACCTCTTACCGTAGGCGTCCTCTGTTTGTTTACTGTCGTCATGGTGTTGACCCCGACCTTCACCCGAGTATGGATTCCCTTCTGCGTGTTGATGGAGCTATGCGTGATAACCCAGGTGGTAACAGTCTTCGGAGCCAACCCTCGCTGGATGATTCTGGTGACCTCCTTACTTACAGGTATGTCTGTTCCTTTCTCTGTTTGTGATTTCACAATACAATGTTTCGTTCAGTAGTTTTACCATGCCAATGAACGGTCGGCTCTTGATACCACAGTCGAAACCAACCGAAGGCCAACCATCACCCACCAAGTGCCGTATGGTCTATAGATTATAGGTCTAGCCCTATGTACCCAATACGCCTGAAGACGTGGAAAAGGTTCCTTTACTTTACTTTATACAAATATGAGGCTAACAACATATGTCCAGTTCGGTTTAGGAAATTCATATGGGTAAATGGAAAAGTAAAGGACCCTTCTTCACGCCTCCAGCGTATTGGGTATATAGGGCTAGATCTTTTTTTATATATATCAAACAGCACTTGGTGGGTGATGTGGTCAGCATCACGCCGGCCGCCTTTACTTCCCATGACTGTACTTAGTATCCACTCAAGGCTGGGTCGATTTGAGAGTCAAGGTCATTTTTGAAACTTGTCCGGCCTACGTCAGAACCCGAACCCTTGACATTTAAATCCGCAGGCGAGGATGATCTGGCGGGTCAAGGCAGGCTGGTTACGCAGACAGTGGTTTGAGTCATTGCAAAACTCTCCTTCATATTCGTCTCAGGTCATGCAGGTGTTGTTGGTTATGAAAGAGCTGATAGACTGGCAGGAGCTGCATTAATTGAAGATGGCCGGTCCATGGATCACGCAGACATTGTCATTGCCTTTAGAGAGATAGAACGTTCTGAGGATTTTTAAAGCAACGTGTCCACATCAATGCTAAGAATACGAGAATTGGGGGTACAGATCGGCACAGCCAAGCATGAGAATCACACCAGATGCACAAGAAGTCTTGTTACCCAACATAGTGTACTAGAACAGAGAAGCCCTAAGTAAAGTAAAAAAAAATAAAGATCCCTTTACACGCCCCTAGGCGCATCGGGCATATGGGAAGAGCACCCATATTTTTACAGACCAATCGGCACTCGGTGGGTAATGTGGTCAGCATTACGCCAGCCGTCTTTACTTTCCCAGGACAGCCCATCCTAGTACCCATTTGAGGTACCAAAAATAAAATAAAGAAAAATAGTTCGTTAAGTGGGGACTAGAAACAGAAATATTCTAGTCCAGACACGAGATCTTCTGTGTAAAATCTAATCAGCCAGGCAACAAATGGATAAACTACGCACACACTAATCACAAGCCCTAATCCTAATAATTATCACATTCCACATTTGTTTATTTCACTGAACATAAGCTTAGTTCTTCACAAATAATAATGCATTAAAATTCACAACGAGTTCGAAAATACCCTACAGCAGACGGAATCTATCTCTGCCTACACACCTCAACCCGCGTTGCGCTAAACCCTTGAACGCAACGGGAAAATCAGAACTACATGTTACTCGTCCGAACACCAGAGGCCTAAGAGAATGAAACTGACCACTCCAGTCTGTTTTAACACCAAGTTGGCCAGTTTTTAGCTCTCTTAAATAAGCCTAATTCAGTTGAAATAACAGTCGTCCGGCGCCTGTTTCAATAGGATTAGCACTATTAACCACGCGACGCTGATGAATATGCTGAGAAGAGAATCTGAGCGCCTATGAAAGTGTCCGGAGTGCTGTGTAGATAATTTAACTCATAAAGTCTAGCCGCTATACAAATGGGTGCTTAACCTCTTTATACTTGTTGTACTTGTCATGTATGAAAAAAAAAAAATAATAAACTTGTGATTGAGTAAGTGTCATCTTTCTACATTTCTGATCAGCTATCGTGTGCCTTTACGGTGCAGCCGCAGAATACATCAATACATTTCTTGGGGCCTATGTTGTGCCAGTTGGGGAACCGCTGATCAGGGTAAGTTAATTTATTCCTATTTCACCTCCCCCTTTTGTTTGTTTGTTAAGACCATGGTAATTATTTTCGTCATGATGACGTCATCGTCGGCTTCTACTACTATGATAGAAATATGCGTGCAAGTGGGATATGAATGATAAAGATATCCAGGTTGACTAGGTTGCAGTAGGATTTGTCATGGGCCGTGTTAAATATACTGTTAAAAAAGAAAAAGAAAGAAACGCATAGTTATCCGATAGTGCGTTTTTATTAGTTTGTAAATAAATTATCGTCCTCAGGTATGTGAAAAGCAGACTAAAATGTTGTTTACCGTGTCCAGTGAACATGTGGGCGTGAATTGCATGGGTTTTTGTAATTATTACAACGCAGTGGTCAGTTGTGTTTAGGACCATAATTGTGAGCATAGCTTATGATGTCCGCACGAGAAAGCAACATAAATTGGAGTGAACACTATTCACTGGCTACGCAATTGAAACCCTATGAAAGGATAACGCTACACCAAAACATTCAGCTCATTTTCAAGCAGTCACGAATGGCGCCTCTATTGATAAATTTAAGGAATATTACTATTGGCCGACTGCAGGCAGGAGAAAGTCAAAGTCAGGTTGCCAGGCATCTAAACGTGCGTCAGAGTACCACCAGTCGACTTTGGCACCGGTTCCAAGCCACTGGTTCAGTTGAAGACCGTTATTGCAGTGGACGACCCAGAGTGACAACAGCAGAAGATAATCGCTTTTTTCGGCTTCGTAACCTCAGATACAGGTTAACAACAGCGTCCTCAACTGCGCAGGCATTGCTTCCAGAAGGTCATGTGTCTGATCAATATGTTCGGAACAAACTGCATGAAGTTGGACTTTGGGCATGACAACCTCACCCAGGACCTGTCCTTACACGTCACCACCGTCAAAATCGACTTCTTTGGGCCAGCCAATATCGTCCCTGTGCAGGTGACAATCAATGGAGACGTGTCTTGTTCAGTGATGAATCTATCTTTTTGTTGCAGCGTCATTATAGACGGTGTAAGGTCTACCGTACACGAAATAAAGGCTTAGTATAAAATTGTATTGATAAAGCTCAGCTCCACGGTTGAGGAGGTGTAGTGGTGTGGGGAATGATCAGTTACAACGGAAGGAGTCAACTGGTCACATTGAGCTTGAATGCGCAACTATGTGTCAGTAAAATTCTTCGACTACATGTCCTTCGATTTTGGGATGTCAACAAATATCTTTTTTTTCAACAGGACAATGCCATACCCAGTTCTACACGGTTGACCAAGCAGTTCCTGGCTGGAACGCTTGGGGCGTGAAAAAATAAGTTGTACAACAAAGGAACCAAACTATCTTTAAAACAACGAGGCTCTCTTCTCGGCCCATCTCTCTAGTCTCACTGAACTGCCTCTCCTCTGAATATCCTTGCTTCCCGAGGCAACGAGCACTTCGCGCTCTGTTGCAACGCAGTGTTGCCTACAGTCGCTGCTGATTTCGCGTTCAGGCTAGAATGCAATCGAAGCCCTAACAATGCAAGTTGTCAAGGCGATGGGGATAATTAAGAAAAAATGTGCATATTTCAACACAAGCGTCTCCCTGTTTCATTAGTATATATGAAGACATAAGTCTATGAAGACTCATAAGTTTGAATTTATACTATGATATTATAAGTTTTCATCGACATAACCGGGTATTGTTATATTATACAAATTTACAGGAAAAGGTAACAGAGAACGACAAGAAGGAACCTCCGTGTCCACTTTTCATTTCACGCCGAAGTTCCGCCCTCCAAAAAGTAGCTCGCTTACTGGACAATGGATGCGTAGTGGGCGTGCCTACAGATACCGTGTACGCATTGGCTGCGTCTTGTAAACATCCTGAATCTATTAGGAAAATCTACATGATCAAAGTGAGTATACAATACTTGTATATTAAAATACCAATGCTAAAAAACGAGTACAGTTTGTCTGCATTATCATGATGCAGGCAACAGCAAGGGACCCGCTACATGAACAAATATTAAGACATTTTTAGTGCTTTTCAGCTTTTTCACCCCATCTCGTCGGGTGCGAGAATTCGTAGGGAATTCACCGGGACAGCCCTGTAGTCTAGGGGGTTAGGATCAGGTTTAGTCTAAGTCGTCTGTGGCTTAGGCGTTGCGAGTCCGACTCGTAATTCCAACGTACCGCGATCGAAACCCACTGCTGGTATGGGGCGTCGTGGTCGACCCAGCCTAAAATGGGCGCCAGGATGGCTGTTCTGGGGAAGTAAAGACGGCTGGCGTAATGCTGACCACATTACCCACCTAGTGCCGATTGGTTAAGGCCCTTTGGAAAAAAAAAAAGCAACAGAATCAGTAGAGAAACAAGATTATTATAGCCTAGAGAGAATGAGGCACCTGGGTGTAACTAGAGGGTCTGGCCGGCTCACCACACTCAGAGGAAAGACAAGACGGAGATATAACCAGATTGTGACCGGTACCATCAGTTTTGAAACTCTGCGCTGGCTGCTGGAGATGAGGATAGAGCACGCATGGGAATGCCCGACGTGCTGTTATGTCAATTCTTGACTCAACTCAACTCAACTCGTCGCCCCACGACTTCCTGCAGCGTCCTGCAGACAGCCATTGTCGCCCTCATTCTGAGCTGTGTGGAAGCGCTGTTCTTTCTTTCTGACTTAAATTTCCTTGACCTGTCGTATTGCTGCATCTGACCACGACCGGCTCCAGTGACACCTCTAGAGTATGGGACTATCCACGGCCTTCTCTATTTATACAGCCGGACGTGGACTATCCTAGGGAAATCCCTACCAAATCTCGCACACGACGAGATGGGTGAAAAAGCTGAATAGTACTAATTTGTTTCTGTTCAGACACCTCGCAAAGAATGCTTGCTACTGGCGATTAAGACTTTATATTCCAGAGCATTCCAAACTGGTCAGGCTGGTGACACTTTTTAGACATACATAGTTCCGCGACACAGTAAGTCAGTCTACTAGCAAATTGGAGTTAAACTAACCTCTTATAGGAGAAGTGGGCACATTATTCTGTTTAAGACTTTACGTTCACGCGAAATATCTTCACACTGTAGTATTCTGACTGTTAGCCTCTATCTCGTCCTTTCTTATTTTTGTCACTCGTTCTCTCTCTCTCTCTCTCTCTCTCTCTCTCTCTATATATATATATATATATATATATATATATATATATATATATATATATATATATATATATATATATATATATATATATACATACACACACACACAACACGTTGTTCTAGTGTTTTAGTTCTTACCATTAACACATTTAACTCTTTAAATGCCTACCAGTCGTGAATTTAACTTGTAATAGTAAACGTTAACCCATCGTCAACCAATTTATTTCTTGCAGGGACGACCGGCGGAGAAGCCCATCTGTTTATGTCTATCCAATTTAGACCAGCTGGCCGAAGTCAACCCACCGTTCAGTCCTCTCTTGTGGAACTTCATGAGACGCTGTTACCCTGGTGGCATCAGCTGTGTGGTCCCTAAAGGCGATTGGCTCCTGGTTAGTGACTCATCATCATCATCATGTAGCAGGTCCTTTGCAAGAAGTCGCACTCGACACGGTCAGATCATTGATTTGCCTGCAGAGTCGTTGGGCATGGCGGATGAAACTGTTCTTTTTTAATCGCTCCATTGCTAGATTTGGTAATCTTTCTTTCATAGAGTGATTAGGCATGCTAAGAAACTGTTCTGCTTGTATCAGTATCTTAGTGTCTCTTCGTTCTGTCAGTGTTTGAGTCATGGCCATCTTCTCCATCATGGCTATAGATGTTGATTTCATCCCACCACCAGTTGCCATACGTTTCAACGTGGTTTATCAGTTCTGTTCGGTGCACGATATCAGAAAGTGTTCCACAGTGTTGAGTTTCCAGCATTCCGGGCTACTGGATCTCTCTTTCCAGGTCCCAAGTCGCAGTTTCCACAGTGTGTTGATTGTAGGGATTTTTGGGGGTTCCTTGACTTGGGAACGGAACGGAACCAGTTATGACTCTGAGCGCTTGATTTTGCACCTTGTCTAACTGTTGTAGTGTGGTTTTTGATGCCAAATACTGCCTTTCTTATACCACTTTTGCGATGTAAGCAGGGGGGTCTTTAAGCCTGAGGATTTACAGCCGCATGGCTAGTGCTGTCGCCACCGACAGAAAAAAATCCCCAGCCTTACCGTGGATTCGAACCCAGGTCTCCCGCTCGAAGGCCCAGCGTTCCAACCGTTCTGCCAACCGCTCAAGTTTGAGTATACACCTAATCTTTCTAAGTGTGATTTCGGCTATTTTCACCTAAGTGTATTTTCAGCGCTGTTATTTGTCGCTTTATAATATGCCAAAGGCACTCGTGTGGATTTCAACATAAAAGAGTTTAAACTGAATTATTAATTTATTTATTAGTTAAAATAAAATAAAATTTAAAAAAAAAAAAAAATTAAAAAATGTGGTGACTGAAAACGTGCTTTTCTTGAAGATGATACCGCTCTGTGTTAGAAGTGTGAGAAATGGGTTTAAAAAATATTCTTGAAAGATTCTTGCAAAACTGAGAGGAGCTGCGTGGTCTCGGGGCATGGTGTCCGCCTCGAGTGCTAGAGGTTCCGAGTTCCATCCCCGGTAAGGGCTGGGATTTTTTCACGTGGACTTGGACTTTTAGTAATTCCCCCTCGTCTCTGGGTAGTGAGATCGGACGCCCGTGTGCAGTGATGCGCACGTAGAAAATCCCTTGGCAATTGGAAATTGAAAAAAAAAGTAGCCTAACGGCACTGCCCGGACAGAATTTGGAGTTGACAATCTACCCAACGTATTTTAGGATCCTCGCTGGTCCTACAGAGCCTGTGCACTGTGCTGAGCTATTTCGGACTCAGACTTTAGTAAGAAGAAGAATGGAGCACTTATGGGTTACTACCCGTGTGCCATGATGTTGATCCGTTGTTCAAATCTCAAACCTCGAAAAACTGAAACTAAACAAGCAGTTTCATCTTGTAAGGAACTAAATAATATCATTTCAATACATGAATGTCCGTATCTCATAATTAGAGCCGCCACGATCATATACATATGATATTTAAATTTAGCAGACTTAGATTAGACATTTCATTGTAAACCAACTCTAGCCTAATGCCCATAAGAAATAATATAGTAAAAGAAATATTTACCTAAAAGGAAACTATAAGAAGTTAGCTTAACATTGTCACATTCATAACCCACAAGTAAATGCTGCTGCTAGAAATCCTTCATCAGAGCACTACATTAATAGACAATGTAACAAATAGGAACAAGAATACAAAACACCACCTAACTATGGTATCTCCGAGAGAAACCCACATGCCCGTCTAACCATGACCTACTTTAAATCTAAAGTAGGTCATGGTCTCGCAGTAGTCACGGCACTTGGCCAGATCAAAAGAAATTTACCTCATAATTAGTTAAGTAACATAAAATGTATTGATCGGCACTCATAGAAAGTATTACGTTATTATTGTATTCTTTCAGAGACTGGGTCTGGGAGATTCCGTCAGCATTGTGGGAACTGAGAAAAGTATCTGTATCCGCGTGCCCGACAGTTCGGTACTAGCCTACCTGGTCAGTGTGTCCGGTCCTGTGGCCCTGTCTTCGGCTAACCCTAGCGGCGGGGACGACAGTACGCACCATGACATGGTCATTGATTCTCTTGGTGAGTCTCTGAATCCTTTAAATGTCTGTCTATATGTCTGTCTATATGTCTCTCTATATGTCTGTCTAAATTTCTGTCTATGTGTCTGTCTATATGTCTGTCTATATGTCTGTCAAACTATTTGTCATATAGCATTAGCTTCTTTAAAAACCTAACCGCTACTAAAACCTGTATTTACCACTTTTGCACCCGGGAAAGGTGGGGAGCACGTTGATTTGAGGATTTAGGGCCGTGTGGTTAGTGCTGTTGTCAGGTTCTGTGCAGCTTTAGATTTTATCTGCTTTTCCGACAGGGAAAAAACCCAACCTTGGCAAGGATTCTTACCCCGGTCTCCATCACGAGAGCCATGAGTTCTTAACCGCTCGACCAGCCGCTCCTCTAAGCAACCATACCCACAGTAAAATATTATAATAATAACGATAATAATAATAACAATAATAATAATGAGGACACGGAAGAGCCGCAATACAAAAATAGGGGCTTTCCCGATATCTTCCCCCATGATGACGTCACGGGACAGTCCAATATTTTTTTTAGGGTGGTAAGAGCGGGTTTCCCAGCTTTCTGATGCTTTTAACTACCCTAAAACATCTTGAACTGGGCCTAACCCTAACCCGCCTACGTCCCACGAAAGAGTGCAGTCCAGGTTTACGTCGCAGCCTAGGTCCCACGACTGCACGCAGCCTATCCACCACCCCATAACATATGCGACTCTCTGTTTGGGGGAAGATATTAGGATAGAACTCACACAAATTTATGGTGAGGGGAAAATATAAGGCATTGAAGACACACCGGGTTCTTTTCCACTTGTTCACTCCATCCCGGGATCTCCGTGGCTTTCGTAGGACACTCCTAGGCAGTTCCCCGGACAGTTATGTATTGTAGGGGGTAAGAGTTAGATTAGTCAGTGTTTCCTTAACAGTCACCCTAAACCACTCAAACTCCTATACTCTAGGGGTGTCATGTGTTGATTTGTTTTCCATCATTTTCTTCGTTTATTGCGTCATCATTCCAATGTGTGTGTTTTTTTTTGGACCCTTTCCACGCCTTTAGGCGTAAAGGGCATATAGGGCTAGACCTATATTTTTATAGACCAACGGCACAAGATGGGTGCTGTGGTCAGCATCACGCCGGCCGCCTCTACTTCCCGGGATTGTACCCGGTACTCACTCAAGGCTGGGTCGACCTGGGAGCCAAGGTCATTATTGAAGAAAAGTCCGTCTCCGCCAGGGAGCGAACCCACGACCTTCCGATCCGCGGCGAGCGTCTAGCCGCTCCACCACGGCGACTCCCTCCAATGTGTGTTACTTTAATTAAAATAATTTAACTAACTTAAACTGAAAATTTATCTAGATTAAATTTTTTTAAAAAGACTGTTATTTTAGTTTTGTCCAAAATTTTGTGTTGCTCCTTTCTGATCTGTTTTTTTTTTCTTTAATCAAGACAATTTGTTATAATTAGATTATTATGTTGTACTTTGTTTTGTTATACCTTTTATATTGTATGTTGTTATACTAGACATGCGGCCCAAAATCCTCAGGCTTGGGACCCCCTGTCTTCATCACCCTAAAAATGTTAAATACAGATATCAGTGACACTTCTTTGCTTTGCTTACGCTTTATGTTATCGTTGTCGGATGACGACATACTAATAAATCCAGTTGACTGTCTGACTGACTGTCTACCCCACTAGGACATCACTAAGTTAGTTGAGTATCCTTTACAGGACGTTGCAGAACCAACCCTAACAGCCCCTGGCTGTTGTGTGGATTCTCTAGGCAAGTTACATCCAGTAGTTTGCCATTGCTTCCTGGACGGTCGGTTTTCTTGATACCACTGTCGAAACCAACTCAAGGCGCAATGCCCGCATCTGAGATCGAACCTGGCATCCCGGCATTACGAAGCGAAGCGTTCGCATCGACTTAGCCACAAAGCCGACTAGGACATCACACAAAGCGATAAACACCCGATGGAAAATGTGGATGAGGATCACCGTGGAGAGGTCCCAGAAACCGCGTTCAGACAATTGGCCATACTTATGACCTGCCTATATTGCGGCCCCTGGCAAAAGCCAGGGTGGGGCTTCAAATAACAAAAAATTTCGTCCTAAAAAGGACGAAATGGTTAACAATATGATAATATAAATGCAGTTGGATTGACCGGCTGAAAAATCTGGCACGGAGGCGTTTTTAGAAAAGGCTTGCACTGAACTGCGCGCCCTCTCTTGGTGTGTGGCTTGTGCTCCGGGCAATTGTCCAGTGTTTGTGATGTTTGATCACACGTGGTCTCATCGCGTCGCCGGTGCGGTTCACCGGGCCGAGATAAAGAGTCTGGCTTTTATTTCTGGGAAATTTCATTTTAAAAAAATTGATCCGGGCTATCATGTCGCGCACCATATACCCAGTAAGGTAAGAAATGTTGGAACGGGTCCTTTACTGTTGACCTCTATGTTACTTTCCGTACAGGTGAAAAATTAGACGGTGTTGTCTGTGATGGCACGTCAAGAGAACTGGTTGCATCAACTGTGGTGAACTGTCTAAAGATCGACGAAGGTATGTTGTTATATGTCTTATGCATTACCTACGGTGTTTGTGTTTCTATGTCTATTGTTTTTAATGTGTGTTTGTTACATTCAAGTTATATATAATTTAATGCTATGTATATATGTTATACATGTGCTTTTATTTTATTATGTGGGCCACTTTTGCTGTTTTCTTTGTCTGGGATCAACATAGAGCATATATTAATCCAAAGTTTCACGTGGGTGTCCAGTATCAAGATTCAAACCCACACACTCACCACTCTAGTGTATACCCACGTGGGGTCGGCGACAGAGCACAGCTAATAGAGATGAAGCCTTATAACAAATTTTTGAAAACATAATCTCACCACGAATCTCAGGACGCATCAAAGGTGTAAACAGCAGGGCATGGAGAGTGAGAAGTAACAACGAAGTTCATAGTATGTTTAAATCACCACTGATCACTAACACCGCTTCTGACGCACAGAAAGATACCTTTGTCAACCAAAGCAAATCTCATAAGAAAGGTTTTTTGGCCGACATTGTGCTACCAGTGCCAAACATGGACCCTTACTACAACTAATGAGTGGAAGATCGAAACAAAAGAGATGAAATGTCTTAGGAGAGCTGCTAGTGTGACAAGAATAGATCAAATCAAGAATGATGAAATTATAAGAAAACTAGGACTGAAACCAGTCATACAGTTCATTAAAGAACAAATAAGAAAAATAAAATAAAAAATTGTGACGTTCAACCAGCATCCCCGAAAGAGGAGCTTTAAGTTATAATTGTGACTAGGTTATGTGCGCCTTATAGAAAGGTTTAGCATTGCACTCCACCAAGAGATCCCGAAAAAGTGTCGCAGCGTTGATTTGATCAAAGCAGACAGACCCAAAATACTGTCCCAACTGATGAAGAAGTCGTCTGCCGGCGAGCCTGTGGGCGATCCGGTCGCCGATAATGATGTATGCAGGCGTTTATTTGTGATTTGTATCTAATTATTTTCTCTTTTATTTTTTTTTAAACAGGAATCATCACATACTTCCGTGTTGGCTGCACACCACAAGAAATAGTCGATGCCCATTTCGAGGCTGCTAAAGCAGAAATGGCTGCTCAAGCCACGACACTGACTATGAATGATATTCTGTCCAAGTAGTTTCCAAAACATACAGACAGATATCGCTGGATGGCTCACTCACTACCGAAATAATTGTGTCCGTCAAAATACTAGCATGGCTACGACCAAAAACTGTTAACTCTTTCAGTATAAAACAGTTGTCATGTTAACTTTCGATATCCAAAAGAGTTGAGCTTAAAAATTATAAATACTTAAGTCGGAAGCGGTTCAACAGACATACTATGGGATAGAAGTGGTTAAACGAATTGTGCCGTTACATAGGGAGTAATGTAACACTGGCATATGGTAGAAGACAACAAGCACATTACATCACCTTGAACAGCTCAAAAAAAAAAAAAAAAAAAAAAAAAAAAACGCATGTCGCTTTAGTTGGTACTGAAAGAGTTAATATATTATTATTTTATATGAAGTATCTTTTCGTACTCAGAAAAAGAGGGCTAAAATGTTACATAGAACTTGTTCTGCTGTATGGAAGTAAAATTTTGGATGTCAGTGAACAAAATGAGAAGAATTTGGAAGCCACAGATGTGTAGTTTCTGAGACGAATGTTACGAATACCTTGGTCGGCCAGAGTAACTAACAACGATTGCTTGAAAGAAGCTAATGGAAGTAGATCTCTATATATACAAAAATAAGAAAGTGACAAACACTGTTCTTTGGCCACATAATAAGAAGAGAGACATTGGAGAACATCGTGACAACTGGAAAGATCAGTGGAAAAAATTGTAGAGGCAGACCAAGAGAGATGATGCTGGATGGGCTAAAACGATGGCATGGAAGGATATCAAGAGAGCTGTTCCAGGCAACGAGGGATCGTGATCTGTGGAGATACATAAGCACCTACGCCAACTGGCAGGGCACATGATGATGATGATCTAGTCGTAAGTATGTTAGTATGTTAGCAAGACAATTTCTGATGAAGACTAGTCATGATTTTGTCATGTGTCTTGTTGAGTTGAGTCAAGAATTGACATCACAGCACTTGAGACATGCGTGCTCCGTCTTCATCTTCAGCTGCAAGCGCAGAGTTCTAATACTGATGGTACCAGTCACAATCTGGTTATATGTCCGTCTTGCCTTTCCTCTGAGTGTAGTGAGCCGGCCAGACCCTCTGGTTACACCCAGGTGCCTTATTCTCTCCAGGCCATAATAATCTTGTTTCTCTACTGATTCCATTGCTTGTTCCTAAAGGGTCTTGACCACATCTGCCTTGTCATGTATCAATTCACCACCCAGTTGTGCAGATCCAGAAAATCAGGCTGCCTGTTCATTACCCACTACGCCGGCATCGCCTGGAGAAAAGATCCAAATTATGCTCACATGATTTTGTCATGAAGGGTGCAATTAACATACGATAATCTGTCATAATGTTGAGACAATGCAGTTATGAGACTAGACATACTTAAACCGAACAGAAGACAAATATTTGAGGGAAAGTAAGTAGACAATTTACAGATTGTATATTCAAAACTTCTAAGGCTTTCTGACTTCAACCGTAATTTTTAACTTATAAAAAGCTACAGATATTAACCCTGATAACAGCGTTTAGTCAGATTAGGGGCGAAGGGACACTTTTCTTCTGCCAAGGGTCATTTTAACCTTTTATAACACCTTTGTCGACCACAAAGATGTCAAATATTTTAGCCTACTATGTTTGTTACAAATGCAACTGCAGTTGCGTTCGCATGACCTAAACAAATGACTTCGGGGTGTTATAAGACAGGAGAGCCGCTGGTTCTCCATTCGTGTGCTACACGTGTATACTACAGTGATTTATTGGGGGTCTTCGTGTAACAGTGTTTGAGGTTTGAAAAAAGGATCTACATCATGGCACACGGCTTCTAACTCAAGTCTGAGTCCGAAGAAGCTCAGTACAGTGCACATGCTTTGTAGCACCGGCAAGAATCCTGAAATACTTTAAGTAGATTTTTAACTCTAAATTTTTGCCCGGGCAGCGCCGTTAGGCTACTCTTTATTCTTTTTCTTCTTCTTCTTGTTCACCGGCTGTGAATTCCGGCGGTAAGTCACGGTTGTTCGTTCAAAATGGACTTTTGGCTTTTACCTTGACCTGAGTTTTGCGTGTACATCCGTTTTAATAATTTTTTCAAGTGCGCAACAATGCACAAGAGCGTCCGCTCTCACTACCCATAGACCAGGGATAATTACTTCAAGTCCACGTAAAGAAATCTCAGCCCTTACCGGGGATTGAACCCGGGACCTCTAGCACTCAAGGAGGACACCATGCCTCGAGACCACGCAGCCTCCTGTAACTGTGTATCATCATTTAGCTTTACCAGTTACAAGGTTTGTTGTCACTTTCCATTGCATTATAGGTTAGTTGCGTATCCTTTACAGGACGTTGCAGAACCAACCCCAACAGCCCCTGGCCGTTGTGTGGTTTTTCTAGGCAAATTTACGTCCAGTAGTTTGCCATTGCTTACTGGACGGTCGGCTTTCTTGATACCACTGTCGAAACCAACGCAAGGCGCATGGCCCGCAGCTAGGATCGAACCCGGCATTGCGGCATTCCATTGCATTATAACTTCGTCAAAATTAACGCTTGACAGTCTTACACGATCTAAGAGACAAATATCCGCATAAATATTTACAATGTGCTATTTGTAGAAAACCCTGGTTTGCCATTTTTTATTAACCATTTCTGCTGGATGGTTCGACTCAAATGTTTGTTTTGTTTCCCAAAGTTTTTGCTTTCATTTTTTCGTTTTGTTTCGATTATAAAAATTTTGGTTGAAACGTTCGATTTTGTATGTGTCTTTGTCGAGCCTTATTGTCACAGTTGCAATCCACTGTGTTTTCGATCTTAGCTCGACAGCACTCACACATTCTCCTGGATACAATTCAAGAAGACGTCTAGTTATTTTCTTCTTTCGTTCACTTGAAATAGATTATCTATATGTAAATTGTTGTCTCAAGTATAAACCTAGCTGTCTGTTGTAATTCAGCCAGCGACCCGTAAAGTTTAGTCTGCACCAGTCTTTCTCATGGCCAAAAATTTTGCCTTGATATGTTTTATTTGGGACATTCTTGGAGGATGATTTGTTGTCTCAGGTGCTAATCCACATGTACACATGGCTGATTCACCAATCTTACATTATGTGTACAAATGACCGTGAAGTCGATTGTGTCCTGTTCTAAGGTTTAGGATAATGACTTGCTCTGGTCTGGCCATAATATGGTAATCATCTTGTGTCGGTTTTGGTGGATTGATTTGATTATTCTCTTCGTCAGTTGATAATTAATAGTTTATCAGCTCTTCCCCCCCCCGGGAACTTCACAGTGTGATAGTATCCATTCCATAGTTACCTTACACCGGTTGCCTAGTTTGAAGAGTCGTGTTCGTATACCAGGTAATTTTCCAGATTGGGGTGCCTGAGGTATCGCTCTTTCATCTGTCGGGAATACCACGGGTTGGGAAATATGGCGTATATTTAGCAGTTTCTCTGTTGCTATTTTGATGGCTTGGACATCATAGTTGTGACAGTGCTTTCCTGTCGCTATTTTGGCTGTATATCTAGTATTATTTGGATGCTCAGTGAACACCCCAGCTCCACCATTTCTGCTTTGCGTTTACGTCTAGTCATATCTTGTCTGTTTTGCCTCTCCTGTCTGCCACCTAAAGGTTTGATCATATCTGCGCCTTCAAGAATGGCACCCTGGGTGACATTCGAACAAGGCACATTTTCAAATATCTTCTTCATAATCTTCATCATCATCAATCACCAGGGCCTTTACAGAACGTCGCTCTCTTCAGGCATGCCCGAAAGTCCCTCCTTCTCTAGTCAGTTCTCCAGCCCTAGGCGCTTATATAGCTAGTGCATCTTTCGCAAACGGCATCCCCCATCACTGTTCTGTCCGGGCCACCATGACGCTCAGCATGGTCTAAATACCTCAGCTTTCGGAACAGAATGCTGTCTATGAGCCAATTCTCCTCAATGTTAAGCTATTGTATAATGTCGGTGGTTTTCCTCTTCTTGGTCCACGGTTCTACTAATTTTTAAGTTCAAAAGCTCTTTTTGTGATCTTCAGATTAAGTAAGAGTCTATCACTGACATCCATCAGTTACTACTGGAAAGATGCAAGATCTCCACATATTAGACAGTTTTAATTAGAGCATCCATAAAGAGGAGAGGATGATAAGGTGAGGAATGAGAGAGTGATAACGTTCAACCTCACCAGGAACACACAACTAGCGATTACCTCCAGGTGACACCACTCGGATGAGGATCACTCGTGGAGAGGTCGCAGAAACCCCCTTCAACTATTATGTTATATTAGGCGCTCCTGCAACAGCCAGGGTTGGGCTTCAAAATAAAGAAACAGTTACGTCTCATATGAGGGCGAACAAACTGTTAATCGTGGAGCACTCTTTTCTAGACTTAAACCTGACGTGTGTGAATAAGATCTAACTAGACATACATAATACGACTAGAGGAGTGGGGGATTTCAGTTTAAACAGTCTGCTAAATTTCCTTTTCAACACCTTGAAGAGACATTTGTTTTTCCAACTGTTACATTAGGACAGTGGACTTTGTACATCTCATGTAACTTACCTGGTGGTCTCAAAGCTATTCATACGTACACATTTACTGCCCCCTGGTGTGGTATTTCACGACACGATGAAACTAATGTGATCTTCACTAGGTCACGTGACTACGTGTAATCGGTGTAAATCAAATATGTACAGTTATTTTGCAAATGTTATAATTTCATGTAAGTTTTTTTTTCAGTGTTTAAATGTGAGCACTGCTGTATTTATATAACAAGCACTGTAATGTCGTGACACATAAATACTAACACTGAACTTTCAAATTGTATGATTTGATACACGCACCACACACATATATATGTATAGCGAACACTTTTAACACATTGTCATTTTATATGAAGTATCTAGTGGTACGTACTCACACACACACGCGCGCGTACGCACACAATTATGCACACACACCTCCTCATCGACTTACAAACTTTTCGACTTAAGACCATCCCCACTTACG